CCCTTCTGACGCCCGTATCAGCCCAGCCGGCGTCATGGACTCCCTTTGGTCTCCCATCCGATTCTCGCGCAAACAAGCCGCTGAGGGGGACGTCGCTACTACCGACCCCGCCACCGCGCGACGCCTCGTTCAGCCCTGGTTTCGTACCCTCGCGTTCGCCGGCATTGTAGGCGGCGACCCATGGCCGCAACCTATCTGCATCATCGGTCACGCCTCTCAATCTGCCGCCGAAACCGAGCAATCGGCGCAGTACGGCAGGCAGCCATCCTTACGCGCTTCACCCGCCAGGGAACCATGCCCTCAGCCCCATCAACGAAGGTTTCAACTCTACTTTGCCCTCTCCCGGCGGATTCGCGGTCGGATGCGGTCCCTTCCCCCAGGGTCAGCAGCCACAGGCTCAGCTCCAGCAGCAACAATCTACGCGTCCCGGTACACCCTCTGCGCCGTCCAATGCGCCGAGCCTCGTCGACGTACGCCGGCAACTTGTCCAGTTCCAGCTTGGAAACGAAGGGCGCGGGACGACGATCAACGTCGAGGATTGTTTCGGTGGCGTCGAATTGGTCGAACGCGCGCTTCGGAAGTTCGACAAGCCCGCGCCAGGCAACAGAGCTGCCGAACGCGCTGGTGTAGACGAGGGCGGGCTATCTGTCGACGGCTCTCGAGGCAGGGTACGAAACGTTTGTTTTTACCTTTTATTGGATCATGTCTGTGCTAACATATCCATTTGTATAGACACGCCGCTCTCTGAAGCCCAGCTGCTCGCGATATGTCACTTCAAGGCGGACGATCCCGCCCGCGAGCGTGGGCTCACACTACGGCGCTCAGCGAAATCCACTGCGCGCATGAAAGCCCTTGCAGCACTCAATCCGTCCTCAGCAGACTCGAGCATGACTGCTCCGCTCTCACCCTTGCAAACGACCACGAATTCCGACTTGCTCTTCCCCGATGACCGACCTGCAAGGCCCAGAAACTACCGACGCGCCTCGACGATATCCATCTGTTGGGCGTCCCAATCCTCGAAAAGGCCACAGACGCGATGGAGAACGACCGCCCGCTATCTCTCTCTTCACCCGCTTCGGCCGTCTGGACTAACAAGGCCGTCGCGCCTCAGCCGCTGCGCCAAAGTTCCCAACTTCTTCGGCCAACGTCCGCCCTCCGAACTCATCGGCGCCCATCTACGTGAGTTCTTCCCCACCGCCGACCGGTGCGTGCTCAAACGCATGAGCATCATGCGTGCGAGCCCGGTCAGCGCCGCGATGCGGCCGGCGCTGGGCGGAGACTCGATGTGGAGCTTCCACCCGGTGTATGGTCCTTGCAGTCGGTTCAGCGTGTCAACTGTCGGGAGTGGTGGGGCCAGGGCGAGCAAGAGGGTCAGCATGACCAGTATAGAACCTAGCATCGAGCCGAGAGCTAGCACGGAGTTGCCGCGCGACGAAGCCGCTGGTGCCACCGGTACACCCCGCTGGTGCCACCGGTACACCGAGGGTCAACATCAGCACTGACGACGAGACCTTTGCGGATAACGACGACGACTCGCCGAGACCGCCGGTCCTCTCCTGCCCGTCGAGTTCCCGCGTGAGAGCCTGAGCGACTCGTTAAGCGCGATGCTCGCTGCGCCAAACCCGAGCCGCGCGAGCAGGCGCTTGGGTCATGTCACGGAGCTGAAGAGCAAGGTGAATGATACGAGCGACGCGGCCAGTATGATGACCGTCGACGAGATCATCGGTCGAGACGCAGAGGAGCATGCGGAAGGAAGAGGCGGATTGTATCTTATTGTACTATCCTTTCGTGTCTAATACAAGGTATACAGATAAGCGACATGTGCTGGATACATAAGAGATGCGGGTACACTACGAGCCCTGAACTGCTCTGGGCTAATAAGCACTGTATGTAGGATACCCGTTTACTATCACTGTTGAGTACTAGTTACCGGCCAGTATGTAGTGTATAGTAGGATCTTGAGGACTCTGCACTGGATAATGACAATGCTCAAGTTGCTGGATGTTCTCCTGCACCATGTCATGTACAGTGACGACTTCATAGATGAGTGGTACCGAAAAGTCTCCAATAGCTGCAAGATTGCGCAGTGCATTCACGGCAGCTGGAGGTATACCTTGGCCCTCTTCGACTTGTCTTCCTATGGCCGCTGCCCGCATTGACTCCTGGACATGTTCCTGTTCGAACAGGTCACGGAGATGCTTGGACGCTGAAGAGATTGTCCTAACACCTTTCGGAAGGTATTGTTCACTCCATTTCCACAACCCTGGCATGCCTTTGGGGAGGTAGCCAGAGTCAGGCTGCTCCCAACCAATTGACTGGCGCCACTGGCAATGCTTGACAGCCTCTAGCAGTGTCAACGCATTGCGAGATCCGAGTTCACGCCGTGGGTCAATGGTTGCATCCTCAAAGAGTGAGTTGAGATCTTCATGATCATCTACCAGCACAGTATGCAGGCGGATACTTTCAACTGAATCAAGCACTGAGAACAGAAATTGAATATTTTTTCTGGCCACAAAGCCTGACTGGTCAGGAGTGCAGGGATGCCCTTCTATGCGCCCGAGTGCTGCAATGAGAGCCCAACGAAAGCTTGCCACTGCTGCATGCACTGCAAGATCCTGCCGGCATAGCGCTTCAATATTCATTTCACCGAGTCTCTGTGCGAACAATGGGAAGGCCTCAAGCATGTGTGTCATGTATTCCCACCGGAAGTCCTGATTCGTTTCAGTCTGTGACTGGTTGTCCGTGAAGTTGTCCGCCAGCAATAGCATTTGTAAGAACCGTAGTGAGCCTATTGCATCCTCCTGAGATTTAATGTTGTGCAGGATGACCGAGAGCTTTGCCAGTATTTGTTGGTTGTTCCGGATATTGACAAAGTAGTTGGAGGTGTTATGGTCCTCCAAGGTGAGCATGCTGTATGATATATGACGAAGAGCAGAGGGATAGTCCAGAAGAAAGGGCCATATACGATCCCATAGGAATGTTAATTGAGTGCCAGTGATCTTCTCAACTTGCGGTGGCCGGACATTATCGTCAATAAGCCGATCAAGGTCATCAATGGACCGGGAACGAATAATCCAGACAACTAATGGGCCCAAGGACCGAGTGGCAGATAACGGATCCAAAGCAAACATTGAGACATGCCGAGGATCAAGATCCTGAAACTTTATATGGCGTCTATAAATCCATCCACCGATAGCAATGAAGACAATGGCAATATACACAATGGAGCATGCCACAATCGTGATGAGGCTATAGATTGCCAAGATGAGTGCATAGCTCACAGGTGTATAATAAGGGCAATGAGGATCGAAGAACGGCACTGCACTGCAGACAATGTAGATGAAAGCAGCAGCAACTGATACCACAGTCATGACAATGGCAGTGGATTCATTGATTGAGAAAAAGAGAAATGAGAGGCCAATGAGAAACAAGACTAGTGAGACATGCGCAAGAGCCACAATAGCAGTTCCTAGATGGTCTAGCCCATAACGCTGTAGGGCTGCAAAGGTGCGAAGACGTGCAATAGAGCGGTATTCCTGAGTATCACCCGACTGTGGACGAGAGTCTTGGAGAATTGTGTCCCTAAGCCAGTCCTGTGCCATTAGGGCCACTGCAGCACCGACAAGAATGATCAGAAAACTCGTGAGCCACAGCTTGTTGATAACCACAGCACTGTCCGTTGGCTCAAACGGCTCAGGAACAGGCGCACTCGGAATCGTAACATTGATATGTGTCAGAAGTGCTTCCAATAAGCCGTTAGTACGCTGTTGCTGGACAAGCAGCGGCGAAAGCGGGTCTGGCATCAGCCATTTATAGCTTTCAATGATAAATGGCCCGAAGCTGGCGCCCAAAAGACCTGTCTGTCCAGGATCATCAACAGTTATCCAATACATGAGGAGCTTGATACACACCAACACAGTTGCCCCATTGAGGGTTAACTGCTGGCTGCCCACTGTGGTCTTCCGCTCTGCTTCTAGAACAGTAGTGAAAGCCTTCCACATGGCATTGCCATTAGCAGTATTAGCAGGATCTTGAGGACCATCTAAGACAGATCCCATGGTAGAGAGTGGCAAGGATGGGAGCAGGAGACAAGGAGGTGCTTATTAGGTTATGCTGTGCAGAAGCAAAAGGTGCTCCGCGCACATGACCCTGAGAAGTTACCTATTATGGCTTTCAAGATGCTCACAAATGAAATACGGTGGGAGCAAGTGTGACTGTATTGTAGCTATTACAATGAGAGAGTACTCTTCCATCTCGCCAAATCCCTACGTGGTCGACCTCTATCGCCGAAGTCTGAGGAACACGCCTTGGCGCACCTCGCTTGACACAGGTCGCAGAACCTGAAGGACGCTACGCAGAGCATTCCATCTCTACAACGGCCCGTTGACCCTCGCAGAGCTCATGGGCACTGCTGCCAACAACGCAGAGCTCGCGTTCCTGTCGGCTTGTCAGACTGCGGTTGGAGATGCGGACACGCTGGAGGAGTCTGCGCACCTTGCGGCCGGCATGCTCACGGTCGAGTACACGGGCGTCGTCGCGACCATGTGGTCGATCATCCTCCGAGCCAGCATCACCGGGTGCCACAACGGATGGCTTCTCCGAATACGCTTCATCGAGCCAGCGCATGATGGCCAGGCTATCGCGCAAGTACGTGCCGTCCGGACGCTTGATGAACGGCACGGTCACGACGCCGTCATCGCCGGCGCCAGCGAGGTCGCGGTACGGCCCGGTTCGAAGATCCTTATACGTGAGTTCCGTGACCTTGAAGGGGAAACCCTTGTGCAAGAGCGCGAGTCGGGTGCGCGTGGTGGCTGGCGAGAAGAACGGTCCGCCGGGCTGTGGGACGAGATCGTAAAACTCGAGCGGCGCGGATGTTGTCATGATGGTCTTGCTGAAAGCTGGCCTGGTCGGATGATGATTCAAGACGCCAGCTCGACGGCAGAGCTTAGTAAGAAGAAGAGGCTTTCTTATTCATGACCCGAGAACCCGATAGACGTCGGTTTATATACAGTGTGGAGATGGATGCGCCCGCTCATGATCGTGGTTGTGGACAAGTTCGATCCGCGCGTCGGTGCCCGGAACAGCGAAGGAACGGCAACGTGTGTACCTGTGTGTACTCAAGTTGGGGTGGTCATATGTAGTTGGACGATAAAGACTACTATTACTTTAAAAGTGGTAGTCAAGCCTTGCTACCTGCAATCGCGTATAACGCGTCCCCACTCTCATCCACCAATGACGAAAAGTAGCCTCTCGTTTTCTCGAGTAATACCCGCGGATGATCGAACTCGACGATGCGCCCAGCATCAAGTACCATCTACAGCAAAGTGAGCAAGTGCATGCAAAGAGTGTGGAGAGTGCAGAACGTACGATCTTGTCAGCGTCCATGATAGTATGTAGACGGTGCGCGACGGTGAGCAGCGTAACATCACTATCTAGCTCCTTGAGCAGGGACAACTGGATGATAGCGTCTGTCTCGTAATCGATTGAAGACGTCGCCTCATCCAGGATTAACACCTTGCTACCACGAACGAGCGCCCGAGCAAGCGCCAAGATCTGGCGCTGACCAACGCTTAAGTTCCCTCCCCGCTCGCAACCTGCGAGTCCAGCGTGATGCAATTGCCGTCGTCCTCGCTCTGCAGCGAGAGCAAGCCAGACGCGCGCAACGCGGAGTTGAGCACCGCATTGTCGTATTCGCTGAATGGATCCAGGTTCTCGCGTAACGTGCCGCTCGAGAGCTGTGGCACCTGCGGGATGATCGTGATCTTCGCGCGCAGCTCGTCGAGGTTCAGATTGGCAGTCTCGACGCCGTCGTAACGCACACTCCCCTCGGTAAAGATGCACCGTGGTAGCGAGAGTGTCAGAGAACTCTTTCCGCTACCGGTACGTCCGACAATGCCGACGCGTTCGCCCGACTTCATGTTGAAGTTGAGGC